TAGTGTATGTCTCTCTAATCTCTTGGCGCCTCTCCAAAATTGTATATGATGATATATGATGTAAAAATGGCTCAAAATCCTTATATAGGTGGCTAAAAATCCTTATATAGTTAGCTCAAGTGTCACACCTAATGGTCAGGTCTCGTGCACTAGGGTCCCTTCAACGATTGCACCACGAGCCATCTTTTAATGAGCTGGACTCTATTTTATTTCAGACTTGAGGAGGTTCAATCAATCAAATTCAGATAAGATCGATCGAACTCTGGCCAAATCAATCGAAGTAAGGCCAGATCGATCAATCCTTGGCGGTGCCTTCTTGGAAAGCGACAAATCTGAGATATTTTTGGGATATTTTGGGAAAAAGACAAAAGTGGTAGGTAGGGATAAGATTAAGGAAGTTCGACCGATCTGAAGCAAGTTGGATCGATCGAAGATGGAAATTCTTGAGGATAAGGACAAGGGGTTTGATCCATCTTGGTGAGGCTGGATCGATCAATATGAGATTGATTGAAAATATGTCTGATCGATCGAAGCTTGCTGTTTTCCACCACTTTGCTTCTACTTTGCTCATTTCTTCCATTTAGCTTGAGATTGCTTCTTTTATGCTCTAATTTGGCTGAATTGACTTTTTTTGGGGATAAGTACCTGAAAAGAGCAATAACATGAAATTAATCTAAAACGGGAAAATAAGATAGATAAAGGTCCTAGAATACTCGAGCTTAAGGGGTTTAAATGCGCACTTTTCAGTGCTCATCAAAACTCATAGAGTTGAAACTCGACTTTGAACACGGAAAGTGAGGTTGTGCCAACAAAGTAACAAATGGGAAAAAGACGAAAAGTGAATAGTGTCTAAAAATTGAAAATGTGAAAATGACTCGGTCCGTAAAGGAAGTTGTTAATTCAAAGGAAAGAGTCTCAGAAACTATTTCCGAGCACTCGAGATGACACTAAGTGATGAGTAACCGAACTCGGAAAAGAAAATTCAAAGGAAAAAATTTATCCGTAAAATTTCAGAAAAAGGAAAGGAAGGAAAATGACATGGTCATTACATTTCAAGTCTAAATCAATGAGGTTTAAAGAACTGAAAGTATACTACATTGCTTCTGTCAATGTGATCCTCCTTAGAGCATATACAGAAGGGTGATATGAGTTTGTGAGGAATATATTCAGGCCTAAAACATTGTTAAAATCAAACTTTATCCCTCAGTTGTGACATTTGTGCCAAAAATGTGTTTGGAGACTGAAACTATTGTATCATGCTTTGATCATTGAACTGAACATCTTAGCTTCTGTATAATGATGGTTCAAGGTTGGAAGATAATTATTTAGGCCTGAGGAACTGCAGAATTCTATTTAATCCCTCAAATCCTTGTTATCACTAGACAGCAAAACAAAACATGTTGTGAGCTTGTTGGTAACTGTTGTGAATGCAATGTTAAATACTGCTGGTTCCCTTAAATAATCCACTATGTTTGTTTATACATCCATTATATACTTGGGGGAATCATTTCCAGAATAATTTGACACTTGAAGTTAGTGAAGATTATGTTTATATCTACCTTAATGCTGAAGCTAAGATTGACAATTAAAAATTGTGGGATCCAAGTTCAACTATGTTTAAGTTTTGGTTGCTGCTTTGAAGAAGTTCTTCATTCTGAAGAAGTATATAACATTCCTTAATACACTAGGTTTAAAGCTATAAGCAGTTTGGTAACCTTTTTTGGTTCAATTATTTATCCTTATGCCCTTTTGATTGTCAATCTCAAAAAGGAGGAGAATTGAAGCTTGAAGTGAGTGTTTAGGAGCTTTGGGTTTTTGACATTAAAAGGCAAAAGGGGGAGATTGTTTGTTCTATTGGTTTTGCTTTTTCAATATCAAAAGAACAAGTTGTTTGATTTGCTATCAACTAAGGGTTGTTTGGTAACCATAATGACACAAGGGGCATTTATGTCATTCTACACTTGTATATGGTCAGCCTATATTTTTTTAAGATAGTGCATTATGTATTAAAGCTAAGAGGTACATTTCTAAGGACTTAAATGTGGCTACAAAATAGTGTGTGACATGTGGAGTCTTCAAGGGTAGTATTGACAATTCAGCACTATGAACAACTTGCTACGTAGCACTGTAGTCCTGTAGAGAGAAAGTAGTACACTAATTTTCATTGGCTAATGGTGATAAGATCTTATCTTCACTAGGGTTTCTAGTTAGGACTATAAAGAGGCTGCTATAGCCTTCTTGGGAAATTACCCTCTTCTATGCAATATCAAAAGAGCTGAAAAGTGAACATATATAGAGAATACTCGAGAGACCATATGAAGATATTTTTTTTTGAGTTTTCTAATCTGTCAAGACAGCAGAATTCAACCTAAGAACAACACTAATATGTGTATGCAATTTGAAGATGAAGAGGAGGGCTAAGTGCTGCTGATTTTCTGGTGCAAAAGGAGGTTGAGATGGTTCAATTTTGCTATGGTCATTCCTGGAGCTAAAGTAGAGTTTGAGCAAGCGTATTTTGGTGGTTTACATCAGCTGAAGTTGTTTAATACTACATATTGAGACTGGTATTGAATTTCATATCTCAAATCAATATTTTAGCTTATTTTTCTAGTTTATGCTGCTGAAATTGAGATTAACATAATATAATCATGCTATACTATGACTGTTTATCATCTAAGCATGCTTGTGTTGATAAAAACAAAGCTGTTTAATCTAAGTTACATCATAGAAAATTGACTTCAAGGGGTTTGAAGTGTCAAACCCTAGTATTAAAGGTTTTCAGCTGAAGTTTGAATAAACTGTGAACTAAAATTGATAAATGATGCTAGCACTGCTATGATAATCATTTAAGCATCAATATAATGCTAAAACATGACTAAGGGTGATGAATTCACGATCGTATAGTTGTGAAATTCCAATTTTGTCCTTAAGAACAGTGTTACAACAGAACTTGATTTGTGAAACTCATTTTGAATTGTAACTAGATGTTGACTTGCTATAAAAAGTGAAGTGATGACCTGAGCAAGTGTATAAAGTTATACCACAGTTGTAGGAACTAGGAACAAGAAGTTTCAGACATGAATATACAAAGTTTCCCTTTAAACCTGAATGTTAAGTTGCAGCTAGCAGAATTTGTTGTGAACTTATTGGTACTGTTTTGAGTCACAATGATAAATACCTACGAAGGATTATTATATATTCAGCAGAGCGTGATATTCTAACTATGTTGTATCTTTGGGAATTCTATTGTGTTCAAGATTCTTGTGGAATTATAGTTTTACCCTACTACAGTTGAGTTTGGGGTTTTGGGGCAGAATTCAAGGCTGGTGAGTATTCTTAATGTCTACCTTGCTGTGTTCTATATGATTTACATCTGAGCAAGTTTATTTTGCCTATTGAAGACTAGGGGAGTAAAGGTTGAGTTGTTCTTGAGGCTACATTACATAATTATCCTTTGAAGCTTGAAAGTTAGAGTTTATTGAAGTTAAGGCTGTTGTGTTATTATATTGAGTTACCTTGCTTTTTAAATTGGTCTTATCATTTGAGTAAGTGTACTTTGATGATACAAGGTTGTGAAAGCCACTTACAACCCTGAACTGAAGCTACATTGTGAAGTTACCATGTTACCCTTGGTTATAGGGTTTTATTCTATTGAGCTCTAATTCATTGTTACCTTACTAAAGCAATTGAGGAAGACATCTGTGCAAGTGTAGTTTGGCTATATAGAGGTGTGGAAGTCCATTGCAGGCCATTCTTGGAGCTGCATTGTGAAGTTACTTTATTACCCACTTTAGGGTATTTGCCTTGTGGGAGGTATTATTGATCTACCTTGCTTATCTACTCCATTTAAGCATGTGTATTTGATTGTGTGAAGGCTGTGGGAACCTAGTTTGAGCATCAAGTGAAGCTACAGTGTGTATTGATAGTTCTACCCTTCTCGTTGCAGTGAAGTGGAAGCTAGGGTTTCTTTTGCTGTGTGGTACTTAAGTCTGTGTATTCAATCTTATCTTGTGTTGCAGCTTGAGTATATTGTATTTGGTGTGTTGACACCTTCATTCATTATTGATTAAGCTAATAAGAGCTTTAAGTGTCCAAGTAAAGGGGCTGTGGACATAGGGAGTGCTTGTGTGCACATTGTTTGAATTTGTGTGTGTGTAGAGGTTGTGAAAGTTAGTGTCCTAGTGAGTACAAGGTGGTTGGAAAGTAGGGCAGCTGAGTGAATAACTACTTACATACAACAAGTGAATATGGTAAGCTAGTGTGTATGGATTGTTTGTGAAAGCTAGTATCTATTCTTGTACAAGGGTGTGTGCAATGAGTGAGATAGCTGAGTGTGTAATAAGATTCATACTACCAGTGGAGGCATTTATTGGTTGAGGCTAAGAACCAAGGTTTTTCCCTTTTGAAAGGGTTTCTTTGTATATTTTGTGTTATGTGCCTAATTTGTGTTTGATTGGTTTTGTTGATTAAAAAGAAGAAGTTTATGTAAGACCAATTCACCCCTCTTTTGGTCTAACACCATAGGAGGGAAGAAGAACTCTCACTTATGTTGAGTAAAGAGTTCTAATGACATTTTCGCCGAGGTAAAGACATTAACTCAAAGATTTGACCAATTCTTGGCCAATTAAAATTCGGTTCATCAAGCATCTTCCCCTCCCCATCATCATTCTAGTGAGTTTTGTATGACATATTCAACTGTGCTTCAAGAGACTCACTAGAATGATGATGTCTAATAAAATTTTTGATCTTGGCTAAAAAGCCCAACGTCTTGTTAGAGACGTTAAACATTAGCATTCGTAGGATTTTCAAACCATATTCCTCCTTCATTTCTTTCATTTTTCATTTCTTTTGCATTATCTAGATATGTTCAAGGTGTTTTATGTGGTTTTCGGGCAATTTTGAGCATTTTCTGTGCATTTTGTGTCATTTTCGATCGATCGAAAGACCTTTTCATCGATCTAAGTCTGCAGAACCCCATTTTACAAAGAAATCATCTCTCGGTATCTCCCTTTGAGATTAATCCTGATCGATTTCGATCGATCAATCCAAAGCTTCAAAAATGTTTCAACTCTCATTTGAAACTTTTCGATCAACCGAAGATGGACGGTTCGAATTTTAAAATTCTGCTTTGGCCGTTCGCATCCCAAAAACCCTATTATTTTAATACTTCTTTCTCTCTCCTCTCTCTTATTTTCCTTCCTTTTTCTTTTGTTTTACTTTCTCTCTCTCTCTCTCTCTCTCTGTCTCTGTCTCTCCCTCTCCCTCTCTTCCTCTCTCCCTCATTTTCTTTCTCCCCGAAGCCTCCATTTCTCCCTTTCTTCTCCATCACTAAACCCCACCACCATCCACCTTCCTCTTATCTCAACCACCTACCCCACCATCATCTCTCATTCCGGCGAACCCAACCATCCCACCGCCATCATCTTCTGCCATCGAGCACCGTCGACTCCATCTATTTCGGCCGCGGCTCCTCCATTTATTTCGGCGAAGTTCTTGGCCTACGACCGAGCATTCTTTCCTTGCGGGTCTATTTTTCTCTCATCGGAGTTCTCTTGCTCTCATTCTCTGGCTGATATAGGCCAAGGAGAATTCGTCGGTGCCTCTGCAACTTCCGGCGACATTCCAGCAGTATCTCTTCATCTTCTCTCTGATTTTCTCATCTTTTCCCTCGGGTAAGTCCAAATCTTAGATTTGTTTTATTTTGTTATTAATTTTTGTTTTTCATCTTTCATTTTTACTTTAGTTTTGTATTTATGCTTCTATAATTAGAACTGAAAAATCAAAAAGAAATTTGAAAATTTGAAAGAGAGGACTTGAAACCTTGGACTGAAATTGAAATTAAACTTTGGGACTTGGTTGATACTTATGGACTGTGAATGGGCTATGACCCTTGTGTTGAGGAGTATGGGCATATGTGAATGTAGTTGGGACAGTTTTGTTGTTGTATTGTTGAAGGACAATGGGCTTAAAATTGGTTAACTATTGTTGGTTTGTTCTTGAATGGAGAATGGGAAATTGTTGAACAGTTTTTGATTGATTGGATGGTGCGGTTGAATGAGTATATATGCATGTTTTGTTTGCTTTATTTGAAGAATCTATAATCCACTTTGATGCATGTATACCTTTTGAGAGGAAATAATGCTGAACTTTTTGGAAAGTAAACTTGTGCTTTGTTTTTAAATCTCTACATGGAACTTGGTTATTTTGTGGGTTAAATTGAAAAATGGAAATTGGAAAGAAATTGATTGTTAATTGTTGAGTTGAAAAATGAAAATTGGAAAGTGGACTTGAAAGTATTGAAATTGGAATTGGAATTGTGAAAAAGATGTGAACCTTGTGTTTTAATTTTCAATTTTTAAATTGGATTTTGTAGAAAAGAAGTGAATTTATAATGTTATTTAAAATTCACATGTGAAGAATGATTGTACAAAATGGAAATTGGATTTGAAAAGTTGTGATTGAATTGAATGAAATTGTTTAGAAAAGAAAAATGTTGAACTTTAAACTTGAAAAATTCTTGACAAATTGCTTGATGTGTATTTATTTTGAAATTAACAAGTTGTGAGCATGTCTCCATCTTAGTTTCATTTGCTTGTCCTAAGTTTAGGATTGCATGGATGTATGTTCTAAGTAAATGCTTGAATATTGTGCTTTGAAGTTGATACTTGAGTTTTTGAATCTTGAAATTGAAAAGTCAAGTCTAAATGCATGAAAGTGTTTTAAATGGAACTTTTTGCAAGTTTTAGAACTTAAATTGATTCTTGTTCGTGGTTAAGGTGCTTAATTTGGAAAAATGATTTTTGAAAATTGGAAATTTCATTTACAAATAGCTTGTTGGTTTCTAAAAGTTGAAAATGGGTTTTTGAACTTTGAATTTGAAATGTGAAGTCGAGTTGTTCAATTCCTTCAATTAATGAATGTTCAATGCATGATTCTTGTCATAATGCCTATATACAATGCATTTGAATGTTTGAACCCCAAAGTTTAACCAAAGGTACTAAAAATTTCCTAAGTTGTCCAAATTGTCCTTAAATGAGTTGAACTAATGCTTTCTTTTCCATCCAAATCCATGTTTTAAATGCCATTGAGTTTGTTTTGACCAATTCTTGATTCTTGCCATGCTAGGGCTTTGGTGTGATATCTTTTGAATTAAGTTGTCATGAACTTGAATTTTTCTTGAAAAATGTGTTGAATTGCCATCTTAAACTCTCCTTTTGAAGTCAAATGTTCCGATATTGCATAATAAGCTTGAATTTGCCTAAATGTGATTTTTCTTGGAATAAGTGTTATGCTCCTAAAATAAATTGCAAGTTTCTTGTTTCTCCATACTTTTTCACAAAATTGCACACTCCTTTGTCACATTGTTGATTTTCAAGCATGTTTGAATAAATTCTTGTTACAATATCATGAATTCTTGAACTTATCAAAATATATATATATATATATATATATATATATATATATATATATACATATATCACGAATTCTTGATCTTTGAATAAGTTTGGGGGGAAGTGAATGTTCGAGTTCATAATGCATGTCTATGATATCTTGTCACTCTTTGGCACACTTGTGAACTTTAATTGAATTTTGAAATGTCATTTGAAATAAGTTTGGGAAAATGCTATCATTGATTTCTTGGAAAGTTGCTTTGAGCTCTACTGAATTTAAACTTGGTCCAAAATTGCTTTTTATGGATAAGTTTAGGGAAGTTGATGTTGGCATGCCATTTTACTTGATTATATTCAATTGTGATCCATTCTTGCAAAGCGTGCAAGTGCTTATAACCGTGGTTCTTAGCTGGTCATTACTTTTGATCCAAAGGGGTAACTTTCTAGTCCTTCTCATTCTTTACCATCTCTTTGCTTCATTTATGCTTAGAAAGGGGGTCGCGAGCCATCAGCGATCATTTCTTGCTTCTATATTGCTTAGAGGGAGTCATGAGCCACGAGTGACCATAGGTTGTTGATTTTGTGAAATGGAGGATGGGATATATTTGTAAATGGAGTTTGGATTTGATTTGTGCATCATTCCTAAAAATGCTATATAGGTTGCATACCATGTTTAGAATTCATCTTTGTAGTTGTGTGTCATAACATGCCTAGTACTGAAGTGTTTTGCAACCGTGCATTCCACTTAGTCTTTATTTCATGATTTACATGCTTCTTGAGTTCTAGGTAGACATTTTCCATGATTGTTTCCTCCATGTCACCTTACATGCTCAATTGGTCTTAAATGTTGAATTTGTAGACATTCTTACTTAGGAATTGATACGATGTCATCCTAGGGTCTACTTTATTTAAATTGCAAAATTTTTGTGAGTTTTAGGTTTGTGAATGCACGTTGCATGTTCTATGCACATCACATCATATACTTGTCATTTTGGTCACATGCTTGCATATATGTTTTCCAAAAGTGATTTTTTTGCCCTTTTTGCTACCGTTGCACTGTTTTGCATGAGTTGAGATTGTTTATTATGCCATGATTCATTCTCTATTTGTTGAAGCATGTTCAAGTTCTGAAATGTTAATAAATGGTTTGAATGTTATTCTTGAAGCTTCCTCAATAATTTCTTGCACATGCATGTTCATCTCTATCTATTCTCTGTTTATACTTGATTCAGGCATGCTTTGTGTTTTCTTTTCAGATACTTACCTCATTTCTTTACCTGTGTACTGATTTCTATACTTTGTCTTTTTAGATGCAGCGGAAGAAGTCAATTGCCAAAAAGAGAGCTACCAGTCCCCAAGAGCCACCTCCTACTCCACAGGAGGAATCTTCTTCTTCTTCAGAGGCCAAGGCCACTGCATCTTCTTCTGGGCCATCTTTTATGGATGCATGCATAGATCCCTATAGTAAGAGTAGTCCTGGAACCTTACTTTACAAATAGAGAGTTGGAGCTAAAGTACAACTTTGACACTAATTTATTTACCCGGTCTGAGCAGACCAAATGGGCTTATGACGAGTTTCGCTGGCGTGGCATTGATCCTATTCTAACGTCAAGCAGTGGTATGGTCTACCTTTGATTGATTGTTTTATTCTTCTAGCACCTCCAGCGGGATGAGGAGTACTAGCATATATTTCACACAACTGTGGATGGACGAGATATCGTCATTTCTATTGCTTACATCGAGGTAGCTTGCAGATATCCCCATATATCTTTCTTGGTCCCTAAGATCGAACAGCCATTATACCCCATCATTCCAGAGTATCTGATAGAGGTAAACATGGCTGTCGCACTCTCTCCTCACATTGCATTTTTGAGCCATAATTATGCCAACAGAGTTCACATTCCCTCCAGGATATGGTTCATTGACATAGTGCAGCACCGCAATGGCTTCCCATCTGGGCATAATGCTCAGAGGCGAGAGGGGGTCTTGAAGGCTTTATACAGTTTCCATCAGGGATGCTGGGTTTTTATTCTGGGCCTTATCTGGGAGATTATTCGCAAGTATTGGGATAATTTAGTGTTCAGATGAATTGAGAGAGTTGTGTCTTAGCCATTACCTTTTGGCCACTTGATCATGCAGATTTTAGTAGACCAGGACTTCCCATTAGACCCAGAAGAGGTGGTAGAGCCGACCACCAAGAAGAAAAAGAGGGAGTATAACACGAAGCGGTGGAAAAAGAGCTACAATGCATGCCACACAGGTCTCAGGAAGGCATTGAAGAGGCCCCACACTGATTCATATAAGGGATCTCTGGACAGATCACCTACATCCTTCAGGCCCACGTAGAGACCTTGTCCTAGATTCGGTTCCTCCAAGTATCCTAACTCATCCCAATTCTAGACAGATACTTTGTTAGTTCCATCTCCGCCTCCACTAGCTCCGACAGGCCCCTTATCCCACCATGTTAGCTCATAGTCCAGTCTCCGTGGCAATTTCACTCAGCTTTAGTATGAGTTCAGATCACTTAACGATCGTATAGTTCAGAGAGTTACTGACATTGAGCGCGCTATCATAGATTCTAGGAGGGATGTTACACAGCTTAGGACTGATGCTGGTTAGCTCAGAACAGACATGACCAGTTTTAGGAGGGAGTCCACTGAGATGTTTCAATACATCATTAACCTGCTTGAGCCGGACGTTGTTCCATGATTGCATCTTATCTCATCTCTCTATCTCTCTTTCTATCTTATCCATTACCTACTCTTGACATTACTTGATACTATTTTGATACATTGCTATCTTTGGGGATATTTACATTGCTTTGATATACTCTGTATAATTTTGGGATCCTATTTTGGATATTATTTTTGGATCATTGTTTTGGATATTGGTTTTGGATTTATTTTCATTTATGGATATTTGTTTTGGATATACTGAGCTTGATATTGCTATATGCATTGTTGATTATGCCCATTGTTCCTAGTTTTCTACTTTATCTCTCATTTCTATTATTGATGCATTTGTTTTGATAGTTGCTAGTGTGACTATTTTCAGATACGTTTTTGGAATCTAAGTTTGGGGTACACCTTCCAATGCTAAGTTTCCATTGCCGGGTTCTATTTGCTTCGCCCATTTGGTATACTCTTTCCATTATCTATTGCTATCTTTGTACATTGCGAACAATGCACAGATTAAGTTTAGGGATGTTTTAGCACGTTGCACTTTATCTTTTATGCATGTGATATGATTTAAGAGTTTAGCAATGATTTTGATCTTTTGATATTACTTAGAATTTAAAAATTGCTTGACATGAGATTTCAATACTCCTTGTATGCCTTGTGGATGTCATTAAGGAGTAAATTTTTTTAAAAATTTGTGACGGCGTTGGTTTTTAGGCCTGTACGTCCTATGATGAACCGAACGTAGATCCGATAACGAATCTAGAATGCAGAAACAAAAGATAAAACAATGGTCTCTAGAGATATAACACGTCTCTAGGATACCAATGTGATCCTCAATGAGGTCACGGAACCCAAAGAAAACAAATGCGGAAGCGACGTTTCAAAAATGGACAAGAATGAACCTAGGGGCAAAATGGTCATTTTAAAAATGAAAGTGGATATTACTGAGCACACCATTAGAAAGACAATGAAAAATTAATAAACTCAGACCTAAGAATCACTTGATTCGAAGTCCGGACGAAGAAGATATGGTTAACAGAAGAAAAAAGGGGAAAAAGGTCAAAATTATCAATCCAAGATCATCTAACCGGTTAGGAGGCAAAAACAGAGATGACCACATTTTACCCAAGCTCTCGTAACCGGTTATGAGAATCCACCACCCGTACACTAAAAATCAACAAAAACCTGGCAGTAGGATTTTTCAGAAAAAAATGGGTTTTTCAGGGTGAAGATGACATTTTTTGGAAAAACACAAAGAAGAACCCCCCCACCCCCCAAAATTGAGTTTTCTACCTAGCAACGCGAACAAAAATGAAAAAAAAAAAACACATTGTGAAATACCCAAAATGTCCCTTGATCAGAAAAGGGTAAAGTTTCAAAAAAATGCAACTTTAAGTGTTCATTTCATCAACAATGGTATTATATGCCAAAGTGAACATGTACGCATGCGTAATACGATAAAGTAGATGCGTTACAATGGCCTACGGCCTCATCGCATGTTATTTACAAAATATGACCCTTCAATGCATTAAATCACATATCTTACATAGGCAACAATGAAGTTAAAATTAGCATACATATCACATAAGTGTTTTTGGCCCTTGGCCTTATTACAAACACATTCTATGAGTAACAAAAGATGCACTTAAGTGCACATTATATAGTTTGACCAATAAATATAAGTTTCATCCATGAAACCAAAAAGGAAGCATGATATGCTAACAAGTGCATATTCTAATACAATAAAAATGTTCCAAGTAGTCAAGCAAGCCTAGGGGTGCTGTGCATCCCACAATACCGTTTCTTTACCTGAAAAACACCTGGTAAGTTTGGGGTGAGTAAATAAGTTTACTTGTAAGGAATGAGCATGCAAAACTTAATTTTATACAACTTGCAATTTGATGTAAATCAGTTCATAATGTTTAACCGACATTAGAACTCCCAACACAATGTAATAAGATGCAACTCACAAAGTTATCAACTTGGAATTTAAAGTGCGAAATCAAACCAAAGTGAATACTTGGACATCATGCCGGATCAGACCGGCAACATAGTTACTTTAGGGTTACTAGCCCACGGATAACCTCCCTATGTGTGCACTAGACTTTTAAAGGGACAATCCTCCATACTAGAACCATGCCCTAACCTTAGTCATAACGACATCCCAAGTTTCCAAAATCAACAATTTGTGCAACAACGTATATATATTAGCATAATCATATATACACAATGTAATACCATATACCATGCACAAACCAATTTTGGAAACACAATACATGCTCTAGTTCACAACTATAATGGCATGAAAATTGTTGAATAATCATTATGCAACTTGTCACACTTTATAACAATATTATTCAATAATAAAAACATAATCTCACAAGTATTATACAAGTTTAAAATCAAGACTTAAACATGTAATCAATATGAAATTCACACTCAAATCATTAATATAACAAGGATAGAAATTAATTTGATAAAACAACTAATTTTTCTAGATTTCATTTCTCATCCAAACATGCTCAATTTAATATATATTGAAGAACTTATCATGATCATTACATATATTCCTTCAAAACCTAATTTAAATCATGGAAACATATGAATAAAAATTAATTAAATTAATTTATAAATTCCTCTAGATTTCAAAATAACCCAAAATGATCTCAAGTTAATAAATGTTATGAATCAAGTCATGACCTTTCCAAGAATCATGTCCTAACTTAATTTCATGTAAGACACTATTAACTACTCACTTAAAATTTAGATTAGAGACATGTATTCCATTTGTATCAAGATATAAAGCATATAAAGCATTGAAAATATAACTTAGAACACCCCCTACCTCAATAGAGAGTTGAATTTTTATAAACCAAAGTAACTGTGACGGCCCTGGTTTTTAGGCCAGTGCGTGTTGTGATGAACCGAACGTAGACCCGTTGACAAAAACAGAATGCGGAAGCAAAAGATAAAAAATGGTCTCTAGAGATTCAACATGTCTTTAGGACACCAATGTGATCCTCAATGAGATCACAAAACCCAAAGAATGCAAATGCGGAACGACAGTCTAAAAAAAAGACAAGAATGAACCTAGGGGAAAAGTGGTCATTTCATAGAGAAATGGATGCTACCAAGCAAACCATTGGAAAGACAACGAAAAATTAATGAAGTTAGACTCAAGAATCGCCTGATTCGGAGTTCGGAATGAAAAGATATCAAGTCTTGAAGTTAAGGAAAGAAAACCAAATCCTAACACTACCTCAGTAAAACTTGAATAACTTGAGTTACAAATGGAATATGAAGCACTAATTGGTACTACTAGAAAACTTATTTCAACGTGGTCAGTTTAGACTTAAGAACGGACCAATTCGGAGTTCAAACGAGTGAGATATGGCCCTCTGAAGGAAGATGTTCAGAGCAAGACCTGCAATGGCGAGCGCCCGCCAAAACCATGCACAAATCCTGCGGGCGCCTGCCAAATCCCGCAGTGGGCTGGATATTTTTGCTGGGCCCCGCCGAAAACCTGTAGGGGCCCGCCAGTTGCTACCCCAGCGAGGATTTTTGAACCCGAAAATGCAGAAACAGGATTTGGAAAACAAGTCTCAAGAACCTCGGTAGCTTAACCAATTATTTGCAAGTGTGTGGAACATACTTAAGGGTACAATCTAATCAATCAAGGAAAATAAGCAAAAGATGGCCTTAAGGCCTCATGGCATGTCATTTACAAATGGTGTTTAATCCTTGAAATTCCATGTATTCCATAAACAAACTATGAAGTTAAAGCAACATACATGTCATATAAGTGTCTTTGACTCCTGGCCTCATTATATATACATACAAAGAGTGTCAAAAGGTGCACTTAAGTGCACATTACATAGTTTAGACAACAAATACAAGTTTTGACATATAATGCTACAAAATGACATTTCATGCCAATCTTTATAAGAATTAAAACCTTCAAGTCTACAATCATCCAAGCAAACGATGAACATCACGAACCAAGCCTTCGTACCTGAATAGAACCCACAGTAACTTCGGGGTGAGTAAACAAATTTACTCGTATGAAATGAGCATACATCGACTCGATTTCTTACAGATTTTTACGTTAACATGAAATAATTCAAAAGGGTCATGCCACCTAACGTCTATGTCAAAGTTTAGACTTAGGGAGTATCCTAAGCTACCTTAGAACATTTATAGCATAAATCACATCATGTATGCAATTCCAAATGATATAAGAAACATGTTAAATAAGGCAAAAAGATATAGATTCTCAAAGTCCTCAACTTGAAATTTAAAACACGAAAACAACTTAAGTGGATCATGCCACCTAATGTCTATATTCCAAATGAATCTTTATGATCATTCCTAAGCTACACTTGAACATTTGAAACACAATTCACCATATCGATGCAATTTAACCGACATTGGAACTTCCAATATAACACATAAAGCACAAATTCTCAAAGTTAACATCTTGAAACTTAAAATGGAAAATCAAATAAGGAACAACAAGTTACAACATTATCTAGTTATTAACTTGGAATTGAAATGCGAAATTAAACAAGGTAGATACTCGGACATCACGCCGGATGATCGGTTGGTCAATTAAACATCAACCTTCGCAATAGCACGAATCATTGTAAAATTGGGCTATTGGTTGGGTAAGTCGAACCACTGGGACTGCGCTAGTTTAAGGCAACCTAAGCATCTAGAATCGTTTTAGAATGATAAGGGGGAATAGGGTGTTTGCTTGGTTTGTCACTAAAGCTATGAAATTAAGCTGCATAAAATAATAGATTGCAAGGAATGTAAAGAGGTGAAATGCAAGTAGAGAAGACTAGGGAGATGAATCCGTCTCCATCCCTATACACATGCTAGATTAGAACTAATTAAGGGGAAAAATAACATATAATGGTCAAGAATTACATAACAACACATGGTTGCCATGTAATTGATCAAGAAGTACATTAAGTCTCAAACAAGTATAATCTATCAAAAGGGTAAACATGCTTAGACTACCTAACTAAGGTGTAGCTTATACACATTTACTTAAATGAAAGACTATCAAGTTCTTGACAAAATGATGAAGCACATGGAGCTAGAGATTAAGCATACACCATCAAAGGATTTCCTAAGCAATGGTCTATCAAAGTCACCTATCAACATGCCATGAAACCATTTCATAACCTTGTTCCCATTCTCACCATGAAAACTCAAGCAATAAGATTCATACAAGACATCACCTAACAATCAAGATAATAAACTTGAAGAAATCAACCATACATATATAAACATTCATTACAACAAATGAAAGGCTCTTAGTTATGAAAAAGACCATAGAAATATACATTGCAATCCCCCAAAATAGACTACCCTAGGACATGCTTACAAGGGAGGGACTTCATCACCTCCCTAGAGGAAGAGTTAGTTACCCATTGGAGCCTTAGAATGAAGAAGAAGCTTGAACTCCATCTCCAATTTTCGAGCTCCCTCCTTTAAACTTCAAGAACACCTTCCTTTCTTGCTCTCTTCTCTCCCCTCTATCTTGCAAAATGTAGCTTAATGATATGTGTGGCCTTGCTTCTCTTCTCTTGTATAGATAAGGCTCTAAAAACCCCCACCAACCAACATCTCCAACCAACCATTAAAGAGGAAAATTAGAATTGAGGAACCCAAGATGCAAGTGGCTGAAAATGGGCCATTTCTGGATGCAATTCTGCCCCAATTTCGAGCACTCGCAATAAGGGCTCGAGCACTCGAAATTGGAGCAGAATGCTCCATTCTTGCCTTGCTTCGGCCGGACCTACTTTGGTAAAACGGCCATAACTTTGCGCTCCGAACTCCGAATGACGAACCGTTTGAAGATTTGGAGAGCTAATTCAGAGCTTTAAATACTTCATGTTTTGGTGGAGATCCAATTCTCAAGGATGGTTGGTCGAAAATGAAGATCAAGGCAGAATTTCATTGCTGCCAGGCAGTTCTGCGCACCTCTGGTAACAAGGCCATAACTCTCTGCTCCGAGCTCCGAATGACAAACCGTTTGAAGATTTAGAAAGCTAATTCAGAGCTCTAAATCTTTCATGCTATGATGGAAGTCCAGTTCTTGAGTTTTCTAGGTCGAAAATGGCGACAAAAGTCAGGTTCCACTACTGCCAAACTTCAGCATTGTGCTTTGCATTCAAAATTTCAACAAAACATCATTCTTGCTTCTTTTAAGCCAATAAACCTGAAAATAAACAAAAATGCACAAAAGAAGATAATCTACATAATCAAATCAAATAATGGACTTAACTAATGCAATTTAGGGCGCTTAAATATGCAATATTCGGCGTTATCACACCCCTAAACTTACATTTTGCTAGTCCCTTAGTAAAACTACAATGAAAAACTTAATGAAAAGACAACCATGGGCATGCTACTACAAAAATATCATCCATGGTAAAATGAGATAGATACATAGCTCAAAAATAACTTGAAACAGAAAAAGAGCTGGAGATGGGGTCATTGGGAAGAGTACCTTGCATATATGAAGCATTGATACTAAACACATTTCAACATGCATGTATCAACATCATAGTCCATATAAATAACTCAATTGTCATCTCTTAAATGGAAATCAACTCTAACTTCAGTGAAAGTGGATTGGATTCTCAACATGCGGCTTTTACTTTCTTTTCCAATTCCAAGGCACAAGTTTTCAAATCATTGAATTCCCTTTTAAATGAAGTCCCTAAGGCATGAATTTATTACAGAACAAAGCTGACAATTTATTGTAACTCAGAAGTGAAACATAGAATGGTTGTGCAATGCTGAAATCCTTTAAGCTTTCTAACCAACCTATGTAGCAAGCGTTAGGCCAACAGCTCCCAAACCAGATGGCTTTA